GTACAAACTGCCAGAACAGAAGAGTCATTAGAAAATCTTAGTGGCTCACTATTGTTCAAGAAATGGAATGTGTCATTTCAAACCTTCCAGTTGAAAATATTGCAGATAATTACACTGGTGAACTTTTTGAAACATTTAAACATTATGCAATGCCAGTCTTACACAAACTTTTCCAGATAGTAGAAAAATAGGGAACACTCCCCAGCTTGTTTTATGAGGCTTCCATAATGTTGATACCTGACAAAGTTATCACAAGAAAAGACAATTATAGGCTAATTTCTCTTCATGAATTTAGACACAGAAGTTCAAAGGCAGGTATGTATTAAAAAGTACAGTTTTGTGGGCTCCACCTCACACCTACTGAATCGTAATCTCTGAGCATGGAGCCCAGTGGGAGGTGAGTTTCCATAATTCTATCTGGTAATTCAGATGCAGCAGTTTTAAGGACCAGCATTTGTACATGTTTGTTTTTCAAACTTTCTAGGTAACTGAGATAGGGAAATAATTAATAGACCGTTAATATGTAATGATACATAGATATTTAAGGCCTTTTAAAATACAAATTGAAGAAATAATATTTGTTTACTATTTGGGGGAGGATATAGAGACCATCCTTGGGGTATATGCCCAGCCCAGAAGCCTGCTTCCCTCTCGACTTTTGTGGCAACATCTTATGGCCATCTGCTGGGGCAGACCCTTAAGAGACATATCGTTCCACAGGCTGAGGAATAACATATGTAGCTATTAGCCAAGCATTCCTCTCCCTGACAGCACTTGACTCCCCAACAAAGCAATTCACAACCCTCCATCTCTTTGATTACCCTAGAGAGAATTAAGATTGTTAGAAAGGATGCCTAGAAGTCAGTGCTTCACTTTCAAATTATTAAATGAGTTGTTAAATGTATAGAACGAATAACAATTTGGAAGCCAACATTTTTGCTGCAATAGCTAGATATTTTGAGAGACAAAAGAGTGTTTTGGGTTTCTTTGTTTGTTTGTTTCTGTTTCAAAATGCTAAGAGCCTAAAGGATTCAGGAACATAATTTTTATCATAAACAGCATTTGGAAGAATAAACCATGGTTTATGAGTTAATTTTCATGAGCAGTATAAAGAGAAGTTTTGCAAAGACAAGAGGAGCTAATAGTACATGATCAGTATGGGTTTTGGAGAGGGGATCCAATCACTCCATCCTTCCCTGGGATGAGCAACAGATTGACTTAGTGAATCCCAGAGAAACCAGTACCATTCCCAGCTTCCTGGGGGAGATAACAGATGGGGAAGATGGCAAGCCCCTCTGAGAAGCCATGGGCATATGAAGGGCAGAGCAAGAAGTGAAGTTAGAGGGAGGAGTGAGGTGTTAATACATCCAAGCTGAGGGCACCTGTTATAGCTCAACCTCCTGAAACTGCTCCAGCTTTTGGGTTATAAGACAATATCAAAATTGTTCTGTGCTGTTGAGACAGACAGAAAAGTACCTGAATAAGGACCAGGGGACCAGAGGGACCTACAGAAAGGAAAAACCATGCTATGCTGTTAGCTAATATTACACAGATCATATGAGCCAGATTTTTACAGCAAGAGACTTCATCAGTAGATGTAGAAGGAGAAAGAACAATGCCCCCAAAGCAGGTAAGAAATACATGTCAATAGATGTCAGCCAGGCCAGAACTTGATCAAGTACCAAAGATCCACTCTGTCCAATACCCATGATAGAATATGATTCCCACAACCCCCATACACCCTTTCCTACCTTAAAGAAAATTACTAGGGAGGTGGAACAGGATGAGACTTGAAGTCACTGAATTCCAAGTGATTATCATGCAAAATCTCACAGAAATATGCCTCCAACCTGCCTTTCCAACTATGTCCCTGTAACTTCCACACACAAACTTTCTAGTCAAGCCAGCCACTTCACCACAAACATGCCTGGGTGTTTTTACTTCTGCATATTTGCTGATAACATTTCTCCTGAGCTCCTTGAAATTCTCAAACTATGGCTTATTTATGTCACTAATTCCTAATACATTGCCTAATGTGGTCAGCCAATGCTTCTGAGTGAACTTATGAACTAAATGAGAATGGGGTGATAAGTGAAAAAAATGAATGACTAGAATGTCATTAGAATTGTCTCCCTATTTGAAACTTATCTGACGTTCTAAGAACAGGAAATCTCCCATTTTTTTTTCTAAGAAGGATTTAGGGATCATTTCAGTCATACATTTTTTTACCTCCTTAACATCTTATCAATCATTGCTATTTTATCATATATTATATAGGCTTATTTTTGCATATGTATGGACACATAATTACCTACAAGAGTGTAATCCTCTTGAGTCAGACACTGTACTTTAGGTGAGGATTAAATTAGGTGAATTAATGCAAGCTCCTGCATCAATACTGTCCCCAAATTTTTCACAATGCCAGCCCAAAGGGGGAAAATATGCAAGGCAAGACAGCAGAAACAACGAAAACTATATCTTCTGTGGGACTTTCAAGTACTAAGAGAATAACTGAGTTCAATGATATTTATCTCCTATTTCCTTACAGCAGGGCACAGCAAATTTTCACAGGCCATGTTTCCTGCTGCTTTTATGGGGAATGTTTATAGAGAAGGGAAGTATATTAAAAAAATCAAAGGTATGAAGTGCAAGGTGGTAGCGTGCATCTGTGTTGTCACTCTTAGTGAACTCAGTTGCCAACCCTTGCACTAGCTACCTTAATAATTGCACACATTTAGTAAATTTTATTGAGTGATAACTATAAAAATGAAAGCTATCATTATTGGTCATAACCTAGTATTATCATCTTGTTTTTTAGCATTCATTAAAGTAAACCAAGAATGTTATATTTGTAAAAAAAACTTTTTATGTACCTTAAGTCTGGGAAATTTATATGGTTTAATGTACAAGGTTTGCTTTTCTAAGCTATTCTTTTTTTCTTCTCCAAATTCAAAATACCAAGGAGACAACTGATTTTGGAAACAATAAACAATGCAAAGCACTGTATAAGAGTCTCAAAATCATATTTTTTTAAGAAGTCAGTGGTAAAAAAAGATATCAATTTAGATAAAAAATGAAAATTTAAAAATAGACATTTATATTTCAGGAAACGTTTACATTTTATATATTTACATTTATACCCACATTTTATACTTAATATTTCTACCCTATGAGCAATAATGCAATCTTTCATATATGTTTTCCAAATCATCAAACATTGTATCTGCTTACTATATTTTCATTGGTTTTGTTAATGCTTATCAATGTAACACTCCCCTTTCTGGTTTTCTTTATTTCCATCTATTTTCCACTATATTCACATATTAAGAGAAAAGAACACTAGGACCTATCTTTGAAATAATAAGTTTTTAGTTCCCTCTTAAGCACAGATTTCCATATTAAAAATATCTAAACTTTTAGGATGGATAGATGGACTCCAACTAAACATCCTCTTACTAAAGTCAGGTTCATTTTAATGATTATTATCCATGCTTTAGTCAGTGGATAGTAATTTCTTTTCCTTAATTAAACTGGAAATTTAATTTTGGATGATTGGAAAAAAATAAATTTGACTTCCCAAATTAGTTTTTGTAATAAGAGTTACTTTACTTTTGAAAAATTCTTATAGTTACTTATTTTTGTAATGATAAATTTAGTTTAGACAAACTACCTCTTTTTCATGTGCATTTCACACATTTATTTTCCCTACAAATGAAGACAACAAATAATATTTTAACAAGCATGTAATTAGACCCCCACAATTCAAAGGCTTATTGTTATTGCTATCTACCTAGAACAACCTATTACAAAAACAATTCTTTATACTATGCAAGCATAATTGATATTTTTCATCTTCATTTTGTTTTATACTTTTATTAGAATATTCATCAACATCACTCCTTTTCAGGGTTGAAGCAAACATAAATGTCTGGTGAAAAAAAATGAATTAATTCCCTTCATATAAACTTCTGTGATGGTTGACAACCAGGGGAGATTGCTGGAAACAGCCACTGTTACTGTTGCCCACTGTTCACATGGAAGTTCCCCGAACCCTGCCTTGAATCACAGCAGTAAGTCTGAAATAGTTTTCTAAGAAGATTAAAAACTTGTTCTGGACATAAGTATGGCTATAGATCTCTTCATAAATGCCATTAGAAAGTAGCATTTAAAGTGTTTTTTTTTCCTGAATTTAACTCAAATTGCCCCCTTTGTTTTTAAAATTTCTCTGAACCCTAGAGTACATGTCAACCTCCTGCCTTAGCCCTTCCTTGGACCTCTACCCTGGAACAATTGGTAGTTTTGACCTCAGCACAGTCCTGCTGCCCTTAGTCAGCATCAGGGGACGCTGGACAATTCACTGTGGCTAGATTCAGCCAAAACATGTTTTTGTCTTATTCCTTTCACCCCATGATAGGCTTCCATTGATGTTATTTCCACTTAATATTTTCTATTACTGTTTTCTCTAATTTCATAATAGTATTCCATATTTTATCTTTCTTATCACACTCTAAATTAATTCATTTAAGTATAGACGTGTTATTTAAATTCCCTTCAGAAATTGAAGACTATAACGTTGACTACGTAAGTTAAAACTACCTCTGTAGAAAACCTTGGTTTCATAAAATAAAATACATAATCCATAACCTTTAAACAAATAAAACTTAATTCTTCTAACCAAATCCATACTGCATATTCCAAACAGAAAATACTTTCACCTTATGCTTTTTTTCTTATGTTTTATTCTCATTATTTTCTAATTATATTTTGTAACACCAGCCAAAATCTGTACTTGTTGCCCTGATTCTTTTTTAATATCTTCATAGCGCACTTTAAAGAAATTTTATATAAATATATTTCTTGTAATAAACCTATGAAAACTTGAAGCAATCAGTTTACAGTAAACAAAATGTCTCAGAGATTGCCAATGTTTTAATCAATGATGCAGTACATTTTTCGGCATCCTAATTTTAAATTTAAAACAGTAAAAGAAAATACCTTACCCCAAAAGTTTTCTGGCCATGGACTTCCTAAACTTGTTGTGTTATTAGCCATAATATCCACAAGAAATAGGAAAAAGAGAAGAAAAAAAGAAAGAAAGAAAAACCAGTGTGTTTAAAAGAAGCAATTTGATTCTATGCCTTTGTAGTTCAGCAAGAGAAAAATAATTTTCACACAACCCCTCATGTACTTGTGTTTGCATAAAAGGAAATAAGTGTATCATGTTTCCTGCTTTTATACTCAAATTAGCAACTGTTTTTCTTATCTTGGAATTCCACATGGTTCCTGAGACACAAAACAATGTCCTTCTCGTCATTTCCTCAATTAAGTTCCTAAATACCCTTCTTCCAGCCACCTCCAAAGCTGTTTTCAGGATAAGAGGTTCTTTTTTTGGGTGTTTCCCCATCACCTACTGACATACATAGGCAGACTCCAAACTCTCAGCTATAGTACTTTGAGTTAAATTTACATGGAATTGAGAAATAGACTGCTTTCCAATACTTGAAAATTATATTTATATAGTAAATTGGAGGTGGACGAGTGGACTACTCAAGTACAATTAATTTTGTCTAATATCCTTTCTTTATAAATCTCAGATACTTATTAAAATTCTTAACATGTCTCTTTCTCTAGTTGGTATATTCTTTTGAAAAGTTATTTCTTAATTCATTTCATAAATGTCTAAGTATAATTTATATGTAATTTTTTGTTACTCTTAAATTGGTACTTAAACATAAAAAAAACAGTTCCAACACCGAAGGAATCTATTTAAGATCAAGTAGGGGAAACATAAATGCCAAACTATTCATTACAAAAGAATGTTAGGTGCTATGGGAAGGGGTGCAATGATCACAGTCATTTTGTTTTTCATGGAGAAGTACGAGAACTAATATAGGAAAGAGTTACGTGGAACTTTGGGAGAGATATAGACTAGTTAATATTTCAAGAGTCTTTCTGTGAGCTTTGCTAGTCTAGACTGGATCCTCTGAGCACTGGGAGCCATTGGAAGTGGGAATAGCAGTGCCAAGCTGTTACCAACTGTGCCAAACTCTGTTAATAACTGCACTAAACAACATCCCATGATCTGGCTTCCTCAATCTTTGAGTGACTCTATTATGAACTCTTGCATTAACCCTAATAGTTTCTGCTCATCTTCTCAATTTTTATGGATGAATTTAAGTTCATTGGAAAGTAAAAGAGACAATCTAAAAGAGAATAATAGAACATCATAGAAAATTTAGAGAATCCACTGAGCAAATAAGAAAACTCACCTGTATGATATTCTTGCTGAAGTTGATGTCCCAATAATCTAGTAAATAAATACTCATATTAAGAAAGACAAAAAGAGCTCACATTTCAATGGTTACCTTTACTTTTCAATATTATTAACAAAGTTTGTAAAAGTAGGATATTAAAAGATGTGATTTCTGAAAAAATATAATCTAGATGAAAATATACTAACCACTTTACTCTTCTAAAAACATTGAGTGAGATACTTTAATTACTGTATGTATTTTCAAATATACATTTTGTTTTATTAAAAGCTACCTGATTTCAATAAATCCTAATTTCAAAGATGTTTGTAATTTCATAAAGAGTTACATAGACAGCATTTTCCCTCAAACAACAAACCAAAATGAGTTGAATGCTTAACTGTCTTTGTCTTAACTGCCTCTGTGCAGAAACAGAGCTCATTCCATTTCAGGGCTGGGATACAGGCTGAGACTTCCTTTCATTGTTTTATGTTTAACTATCTAAATTTCTCCCAGTAAATTTTCAATTTTGCAGATGGTCAGAATCCAGTCAAAACCCCAAGGAATTTTTTTTTAAATTAATTTATGACCTAGGAATATTTCTGTCTTTTGTTAACAGATTGTTGATAGCTTAGCTCTTATCCGTGTGTGTAATTTGCTTGGTAAGGATTCGTACAGTTCCCTGGCATGGATCCATATAAGTGAGTGTTTATGTCTATGTGATTTTCAAGTCCCATGACTTGTCATGCCATAACAGGAAGTTGATTTTTATCTTTACAAAAATGATAGGTATGCTTTTCTACTACTCATTATTTCACAAGTTGGGTATTTAGATCTGGGTTCTTCAGTAATCACAAAACACATTTGGAGTTTGTTCTTCCCTCAGATATTCAAAGAACTTCCTCACTCTCTTCATTCGGGTCTCTGGCCAGCAGTCACCTCCATAAGAGGCATTAACTAACCACCTTGTCTAAACTGTTACCACTTGAATCACTCTCTCTACTCCGACCCTACATTACTATTTTCTTCAGAGAAATTATCACTCCCTGATATTACACTATGTATGTGTCTTTCTAGTTGTTATAACAAAATGCCTTAAATTAGGTGGCTTTAAAATAGCAGATATTTATTTTTCATAGTTCTGGAGGCTGGGAAGTCCAAGATCAAGGCATCAGCAAACTGGTGCCCATTGAGGGCTTACTTCCTGATAGCTAGCCATCTTTTCACTCTAACCGCATATTGTGGAAGGAGTGACGGGTCACTCTCAGCCTCTTTTATAAGGACACTAATTCCTATCAGGAGGGCTTTACCTCATGACCCAGTGATCTTCCCAAGTCCTCACCTCCGTAATACCATTACCTTGGTGAGTGAGGATTTCAACATACGAATTTGGGGGGAAGATAAACATTCAGACTACATCAAAATGCTTTGCTTTTTTGGTTATGTTTTGTCTCTTTTCACCAGAAATAAGTTTCATAGGGATAGGAACTTTATTGATCTTGCTCATAAACTCTAGGGGTCAAAATAGTGCCTGGAGCACAATAGGCTCTTAATGAATATTTATTAAATAAGGTAATGAAATAATTTGAGTAATTTGAAGGGATCTCAAGATCAAAGTATTTTGGATATTCCAAGTCAGTTTAATGAAAAATATCACTTAGCACTTAAAAACAAAAGTTAAAAATCTCTATTCATAGCCATTTAAATATTTTTAATTTTTGACTTATAACTCAATACAGAGATATATGGTACAAAAGAACATTGTCACATTTAAGATAAGGTACACATTTGACTTTGAACTTCCTTTTTTAACTTATCTTTGAACACTATCATGGGTTTTGTCTTCCCCATATTGAATTAATCTAATTTCACTAAACTGAAAGTATTGTCAGAATAGTATGCACAAAATATCAAAATTTTAAACCTATTGAAAAAAATTCAGTTTTTAAAAAGTAACTTAGAGGATAAATTAAAATTTAATCATGTCATTTTAACATAGTTGTATCTATTTTCTTTTTTGTTTACATGGTATGAAAGTTGGTTTTCTTTTACTTTTGCCTTAAGTCATTCACTTTGGTAGAAGGATGACAAAATTAAGAAAGACCAAAAATAGAGATCAGGTTATAAATGTGAAAATCTAACTGTTGAGTTTTAAGATTTTACAAATGGCAGTGGAAGTAAGGATAATTACCCAAGACCATGAGGATTATTTTTTTCTCAATAAGTATATCTTCATGAATGTCTGAATGAAACATTGGTAAGTGATGATCAGATTGGAGGGAGAAGTTAACTCAAAACTGAGCAGTGAAAGGTAGCTAGAGCTACCAGGACAGAGCACTAGAGTCAGTTCTAACAGTTTTTTTTTGGGGGGGGGGGTGTCAGTCTTTGGCAAAATTTTCTACACATATAGTTGTGTCATCTGTAGATAGAAATATGTCTACTTTCTCATTTCTGATTTGAATGCTTATTATTTCTTTTTCTTGGCCAATTTCTCTGGCTAGGACTTCCAGTATCATATTGAATAGAAGTGGTTAGAGGGGCATCCTTGCCTAGTTCCTGATCTTAGAGGAAAAGACTTCAATTTTGCCCCATTGATTATGATGTTACCTGTGGGCTTTTCATACATGGCCTTTATTGTATTGAAGTAAGTTCCTTCTATACCTATTTTGCTGAGAGTTTTTATGATGAATTGATGTGGAATTTTGTCAAATGATTTTTCTGCAACTATTGATATAATCATATATGGTTTTTGAGTTTCATTCTGTTAATGTGGTGTGTCACATTGATAAATTTTCATATGTTGACTCACACTTGCATCCCAAGGATAAATAGCACCTGATCATGGTGTATAATCTTTTTAATGTGCTGTGGAATTTGATTTGGTAGCACTTTATTGAGCATTTTAGCATGTATTTTTATCAGGGATACTGGCCTATACTTTTCTTTTTTGTGTGTGTATTTTTCTGGCTTTGGTATCAGCATGATACTGGCCCCATAAAATGAGTTTGGAAGTATTCCTTCACTTCTGTTTTTTTCAAGAGTTTAAGACAACTGGTATTCTTTGAATGTTTGAAATCAGTTAAATTTGTGGGATACAAAATTAACATACAAAAATCAGTGATGTTTCTATACACAAACAATGAACAATCTGAAAAGAAAATTAAGAAAACAATTATATTTATAATAACAATAAAAAGTAAAATACTTAAGAATAAATTTAACCAAATATATGAAACATTTGTACTATGAAAATTGTAAAACACATACAAAAGAAATTAAGAAAGATACAGATAAATGAAAAGACATCTCATTGTCATGGATTAAAATGATTAATATTGTTGAAATGTTTATATTATCTAAAGTGATCTAAAGATTTAATGCACTGCCTATCAAAATCTCAATCATATTCTTTACAGAAATAGAAATAAAAATCCTAAAACTTACAGGGAACCACATAAGACCCTGTTTAGCTAAAACAATCTTGAGCAAGAAGAAGAAAGCTGAAGGCATCACACTGCCTGATATGAAAATCTACTACAAAATGATAGTAATTAAAACAGTATGTTAATAGCATAAAATCAGACACATAACCAAAAGAACAGAATAGAAAGCCCAGAAATAAATCTATGCATCTAAAGTCTACTGATCTTCGAAAAAGATGCCAAGAAGACACAATGGGGAAAGGTCATCTCTTCAACTAATGATATTAAAAAGACTGGATATCCACATGTAGAGGAATGAAATTGGATTCTCATTTCATACCATATGCAAAAATCAACTCAAAGTGAATTAAAGACTTGAACATAAAACCTTAAACCATAAAGCTGTAAGAAGAAAATATAGGAAAAAAGCTTCTTGACTTTGGTCTGGGCAATAATTTTAGGGTGGTATGACACCAAAAACTCAGGCAACAAAAGCAAAAATAGAAAAATGGAATTGCATGAAACTA